GATGACCATCCACAATGTCAAACTAATACGATATGTGTCTGATATCTTGACAACAATAGGCACATGTAGTAGTATAAGGAAGTTTGTAAATGCAACGATTTGAATGAAAATACGCTATCGTATGCAGCAAATTATAGCCCTCTATTAAAATCTATCCAGATTGTGTAAGTCTTTCCGAGTTCTCCCATTGGATTCCGTGACACAAGAAAATGGCTATTGCAGTCAAGGAAATTAGACGAAATTGTGAAGATGAATGAAGACTTGAAGTATGAATCCATTCATCACAATGCAAGATGATCCAATTGTTGATTGTTAGAGATAATCTGAAAAAAAAGAACCATGCCTGATCGTTGATGATAAGTTTGTGTACAGGACCTTGAAAGGTAATTTGAGGCATATCTTGCTATGTACCAGCATGATTGTATTTGTATTCCAATGCTCATTGTGAATGACAGGCGAACGTTTTTCCTGATTTCAAACAAGACCTAATCAAAACCAACGGTAGAGATTGGACAAGGCAAACATTTCATTCTGTCAATCTTCATATAAATTTTTCCGCTATCCTAATCATATAATAGATTTATAAATGAAATGTTAGTATTTTTGTTAGTTGGCCAAATAAACAGTAGAACGTTTGAAGATATCTTCAGCTGTTTAAAAATGTTAAATATTGTTGATATATGTAAATGTTTTCATACCCACCGATCATGTTTACAATTTATCAAGAAATCTTACACTGCCCATTATTTGGATATTTATAGTAGAGTGGAAATCAATAAAGGTTAAGCAACTGCCACTGTCCTGGTAAAAATGCACCTTGCTTTTATGGAGTTGTTTGAAATGGAACAGAAGAGTAAGATGCAAAACGCTATTTCCATTATATACCAAGATTATTGACGGAAATAAACCTGGAATATTGTTTACATGTCTAACATCCTAGAGATGAACAAACTTATTAATTGCTCGTGTATTTTGGAAAACCTTCATCGAATGGGCACAGTTAACACTTAATGGCATCTGAGTGGAATCTGACCGTTCGCCATAACAAATGAGAAAGTCACAGTTTCCGTCGGTATTGGATTTCTTACACACGGAAGTAATGCTTTAACCTTTGGATGTTTAGATTCTGACATATACACAATTTTCTGTTATTGCATAAAAACCTATTTAACAAATCAATTGGAGAACAATACAGATATTATGATATTATATTGGTCGAATGTGACAATCTGAATTAAACTGAACATTCAATTTCTTTATTAATGTCGATCTATAACAATCCCTGTGATATTTGATAGATGTTTTATTGTTCTTTATTCAACATCTGTGCTCATTCACGATAAATATTTACAGGAGTTATCATAAAGCTTAACAAGATAAATTGCTTCATATGCTAAATAGTTGGAAAGGGAAGAACATAAAAAATAACACATTGTATAATTGACAGAAAACATCGAATAATCAAAGATGGCGTCCGAGACAGAAAAGAGCAAACTCATGTCATATATTAGCTGAAAATCTCTAATTTGCGCAATATAGACATTATCTTTTATATCACCTAGGAAGTTCTTAAAGTGCAAGACCAATTGTCCACCATTTCGTTCCTGTATTTTGTTTAAAATACAGATCTTTTGTCTGTGTGGAAGACTAATGAGGAATTGATATAACTAGTCGACCTTTCACAATCCTAAATATAGATTGTTCAGCTATCTCTAGTTCAATAGTTATGCTACTGTTCATCATTCTGTACCAAAATTTATTGTACCAGACAACGCCATGCTGTTTCATTAAGATATTTCAATATAATGCTTATTAATGATGTAAAATATATATATCAAAGAAAATAAGTATATATAATAACTTGATTATCTAATAGTATAAATAATTCCACGTGTTGTAGGCTACATAGTACATGTCAAAATGCTCTTACAACGGTGTCAATATTCTTCATTGACAGGTGTTAAATTACATACTTTGAATAAGGAAATGAATGTAAGAGAAAATAGTCATTATTGGTTTCTAAAAAGCGATTAACTATTCATATTGAGGTGGTATCCGTTCTGTGAATATTTTCAAATTTTTCTATGTCATTCTAACTTGCCAACATTGACAAGTCTTATCTAAAAGAAGAAGAAACTTTTCAAGATGAGTCAATTTATAGTTATAATAAAAACAAGAAATATCAACAACAGATGATTGTGTTCAATGAATGATTATGAGTGATAAATAATTTTAATTTTAATGGAAGAAATGTGTTCACTCTTAGATTAAATGTATAATAATCGTCATATGATAAAATAGTCGTTGTGTTAAGAACGAATTCGGTATGAAAATAATTTGTTCTGGTCGCTGTATTAACAAAATTACCTTATATTACAAGAAATTGCCCCCATTTTTTGTACATTATAAAATCAAATCTAACTTGTCCGCTATCAGTGAGGTTTAAACGATGGTAGATCAAAAGTATTATCCTGATTCAAGAAATGATTTATATCAGGTTCAAGATAATGAACGTTACACAAATCGTTTTAAAGATGACAGATGAATTAAGCGATATTTTCTGACATCGATAAGATCGATCAATTATGATAATATTCTAATAAGGATGAAATGGGACTACCATTATTAAAGTTGGCGGCTCGATATTGGCCATCTGCAAACGCGAGAATATAATCACCTACCATTGTTCAGTGTGTAAAGAAATATTCTAGATTTTTATCAAACTTCTATGCATAATCATAATATTGCGCATTATGCCCATTACATTGTACTTATTTTAGCATTATGAAATCTTGGAATATTTCATAAAATGCAGGATAATATTCCAAAATACAGCTACATTGTATGTTATTATAAAATAGCAATCCCATTATGGAGATTATCTGGAAACATTTGAACACATTGGTTCGTTAACATTTGTAAATGCTCTCTCTAATAAGTACAGTTATTCAAAGATTTTTTTACGAAGTGTGTGTTCGTCTAAGTGCATTCCGTTCATATGCTTATAATAGACAATCGACAAATTTTACACAGTTACTAGTTACATTAGACCATTAACTCAGGTTAATTAATTCAAAGCTGAACTGTTTGAACTGGCTTTAGTCTTACAAATTATGTTTTCTCCTCCAAACTTAACAACGTATTTTCCTGTATCTCAGACAGTCAACGTGCTGTAAATGCATTTAGTGTTTGAAATACCCTCTTAATTTTCACAAAAAAACAAAGCAGAACTTTCCCGAATTCCAATCTAGTACATGTATGTAGTGGACAGATAAGTTTTAAATTACATTCCAATGAGCTGTTAAATGTATAATGTATAATCTGTGACGACAATCCTTGTTTCCAAAAAAAGATAGTACAGTAACCTTATTTCGTGCAAACCTAATTTCTTTTATCTCCGGAAATGATAAATAATTGACATGTGCGACCTCGTGACCTCCGAATTTGCATGTTTTAATAAACATGGGTTATCTCTACAACGTCAACCTGCTGTACTCTGAATTCCAAATGTCGTCTGCTAGAATATATTCCAGTGAACAAAGTGACAAACTAGCGGATTCCAAAAATTCTATGGAACACAAAGTGGGCTATATTCTTATGTTGATTCAATGAATATTACAAATAGGGCCTAAATTACTCTTATGTTTTTTTTTTTCAAATAAATCATTGTTCTTTGAAAGAATGGTCATTAGTTTTAATTAATTGCTATTTAAGATAAATACTTTTTTTTTAATTTTGACGAAATTCGGTGTTGAATCCATATATACACGAATATAGGTTACACTACTGTACGTCAGTGTCTCCTCTACTTTTCCCTCCCAGTGAAACACGTGTCAATTCTAGTTCTAGTTCTAATTCTAGATAAAATGTAAATAACACACGGTATCGGCATGTTGATATATCATATTTTATCCCTACACTATTGAAAAGTTAATAACTTACAGCTATTAATTAACAATGGTCCAGATGAAACACAGATTCCACTCTGATGTTTAGCCTTCACGATTTATTTATTAATGAATACTTGCCTTAAGTAGTCTTCGCTTTCTGCACATTTCTGAAACTTTTATATTAAGCTCCTAAAAACTAGTCTATATACATGAATGGTAATAAGCACCGTGGGCAATGAATCCATATTTTGTATGTTTGCATCTAAATTGTTTATCCCAGTTTATCGCTGACTTTAAGGGTTGCATGCTAATTGCAGGTTCAGTAACTTCTTCAGAAACCAAAAGCTAAACCAAATTAATGTTGGCGTCAAAATTGTTTTGGACATCGATACAGTGCAAACCTGAACTCATATTGGTTCTGGATCACGTAAACCTATATACGTTATTTCTTTAATGATCTTATTAATATTAACGTTTTAATTATTGTACGAAATCACAGGAATAATGAATGGATCGTTTCATTATTATTCTGTATACAATCAACTAGGATTTGAATGAGGCGCGTGGTATCATCAGGTCGTATATTGGCTATTTTCTCTATTATGAATTGAGTATTGGCAACGTGGAAGAGTTATCTTCAATAAAGTAAAATCGGCTATGACTTGAACGGTCCTTAGCATTTATATAACGCTAAATGATCTTAGTATTAGTTCTATCGGGAAAAGGCTAAATCGATTCCCAAAGTTTCTTCAGGGAGTTGTAACTTCCAAAACAGATGGAAAAGTTTAAATAATAAGTAATAATGAGTTAGAAAGGATAAAAAAAGGAATAATTTGCGAGTATGTGCCCGTGGAATATATTTGTGTATTCTACTCTAGTTGGTGTAATATTTGTGAATTTTGTTGATAATAAACCAACAGATGAACAACGATTAATGGATGTAATATTACTGGATTATGATTCGGCTTCCCGTCCTGTGTATAATGCTTCACACAAGGTTACTGCTAAATTCGGATTAACGTTGATCCAAATTTCAAATATGGTGAGTAATTCTTAATACTTTATTTTTAAAATTTAGATGCTCAAGAGTTAAAACCTCAAGAAACGCCCGATGAACAGAAGTTGATCAACAAATTGTCTGAAAATTATGATATTTTGGCGAGACCAATATTCAATGCATCCGATATCGTGACAATTAAATTTGGAATGGCATTGATACAGCTACTTGATATGGTGAGTTACATTTGTTCCACACAATGATTTAGATATATAAATTGTTTAGTTATTATACACAATTGTTCCTGTTGTTTAAGGCGCATATAGATTACTATATTAATATCTGTGACAAATCATTGCGTTCTGCAACTATCTTGTAAATCTTGTACACATGGATTAGTCATTATAAATTAATAAATTTATGAACTGGGTTTTTAAAGGCCAGCAAACACCTGCCTCCAAGTACAAAAGCATGTGACTATATTATGTTAAGTTAATAAACGTATAAACGTTCATTCTATATCAATATATTAACGTAGCATATCATCTTCACTGAGGGAGATCTTAAATGGTTTCAATGGCTTGCTACCGTACCTCGTCTATCGTTTCAATCAAACTTAATCTTATCGTTGTTAAATTGAAAATTGTCATCATCTTGAACGCATATACTTACATTGGTTTTGATGATTGAGAAGGGTTATCACCTTCTGATAAATAAAAACAAGAAAGGATTAACCAGTCGTGGATACGATCTATGAAGATAAAATAGTTTGTTAAAAAATTGCTTCTGGTGGTAGCAGGAGAAACCTTGTATATTCTATTTCATGACAATGCCTGATTACAGCAAAAGACGTCTACATTACAATTTGGACGCAAGTTGTTGTCCCTCCTTTTCGGTTCTTCGTCGTGCTTCCTATTGTATGTGCATGCGATACAAACTACAAGCTTGTTCGGTTTGACAACAATTGGTATGTCCGTGTATTTGGATGTGGTCTCGTTTTAGTTCAAATTTTATGAATTTTTTTTATGAGTTCGACTTGCTAGCTAACGCAAAAGAGGCTGGATTTTGACGAAACCTTGCATGCATTATGTATATTGATTATATCTTGAATGAGTTTCACCTATTTTCGACGAACGGTTTTTGAATAATTTTTGCAAAAAATACGTCAAAATTGTCAACGCGATCGGGATAGTATTTGTTCTGCTTTTAACAAATCTTTTTTCGCATATTAAGGAAGTTAGACGAGTTTCATTTTCATGTCTTTTTGTATTTAGTTAATGGCCTTCACGATATATATCAGCATTGACTTGTGAATGCAAATAAGAGATTTTGTTCGGATTTTGATGAAACTTGGTATTCTTTTTATAATGAAAATTGATTATGAGTTGTTTTCGCGATTTTTATGGCCCGTCTAAAAATTGGTTAAATTTAATGGATTAGCGATGCCTTTTGAAAAGAATGGGCGTATAGCCTTCGGGTTGATTTGTCCGTTGTTGTCGTATATTACATAAAACTCTCGTATGTTTATATCGTTGAATATTTTGTTGCATATACAAACGCAATTAATTGCTTTTTTTTTAGTTTAGATCATTTCATTGATTGTCTGTTACATCTGTCACCATGTCTTTATTAGCACCAATTTACAAAAAAACCCCTTGAATATTGAATATATCATTTGTTATTCAAATCTTCGTGATAAAAAGGTTGTAGGACAATAAAACTTGAAAAAACTTATAGTAATTTGTTACAAATAAGTATCCTACATGAGAGTACTTATAAAAGGTAAACACCACTTGTGTTAAACAGTAACTGTTTCCCAATGCCGATGACTTCAGAAAGGCACATTTTATAGAAAGGTCCAAATACTGCATATTTCAGTTACGTTTTTATATGATTATGATCTAATCATATACCAAGGAACACGGTAGACACCTATTCGATAGAGAAAAGTCATAATTGTTGATTCTAAGAAAGCTGTATGGCTCCCATGATGGATTCGAATTCGATTGGATTCGATCTAAAAAAAATACTGCCGTTCTTCGTCCTCTCTCCGTCACATCCCATCCGAACGATTCGATGCCTCTCCAGCTTAGCAACCAACATCAATAAGAGGCAACTGGAAATCGTAAAGGATTCTCTCCACCATTTCTGGGTCAGGAACTTTTATCCATTCGGGTTCTAGTGATTTGCCACAAATTCAAATTTCTAGTTTTATCGATACAATCAGAATAAATAGATACCACATTTGATTATATCTGCATAAATCCCTACTTTGAAGTAATAATGAGAAGGATTGAAATGAAAAGCTTGTTTTTATTAGTAGCATATTGAAGTGGCATTAATGGCTTATTTTTTTCTTTTATCTCCACCGTTCATAAGATCTGGTGCATGAAAACAAACTCAATTCTCATACGGAGATAATATCGGTTTTATTGAAATTATAAAAGGCGCGTATGAATGAAAAGAATTGGAGCCAACGGTCGTTTTGAACCAATGCTGGTTAATAAAAACTGATAACGACACAATTTTCACAATATGCCACTATATGAGCTTATTAACTTATTTTAAAACCAAAACATATATTAAGTCTTAAGACCAAAGTTGAATCGCAAACATGATGATAACTACATTTTGAATTTTGCTGAAAAAGATTAAACTATTAAAAATAGGCTCACTGTTCAGACCGCTATCAAGACATCTTAGATCCAGGCAACATCTCAAATTAAACAACATTCGTCATGAATTCCTAATTTCTTTGTATTGAATGCTTTAATAAAATTAACTCATTACTTTAAAAGGTTTCGTTATAAGAATTCTTAATTCAAATTCCTTGTGGCTTTTATTTCCGAACCTAGAATGGTCGACGCAATAAATATTCAATTTTTTAACAGCCTACACATTTTGTGAGAAAATTCCAACATAGTCTTTCTGTTCATCGATGTGAAAGATGTTTTCCACAACCAAGTGGACTTTTTCGACAGGGTCATTCATATATTTGAAGAACCTTGGTCTCTTTCAAAGGCGATTTCTGTAACTTCAATGCACTTGCTGTAGAGCTTTAAGACCTTTATGAAGTGAAAGAAAGGCGATTGTCTCATTTATATAGCATCACCAATTTCCTGATGTTGATTATGGAAAATTCTATTTTTTACGCCCACACATTAATGTGAGTGTATATAGCCGTCGCCCCTGTCTGTCTATCTGTCCGTATGTCTGTCTGTCAATTGTTGTGATAGAGAGCTGGTTTCTTGATGGATTTTGACGAAACTTGGTGTTAGTGTTCGTAATCACCCAAGGATGAACCCTATTGAAAATCAGACACATCGATAAATATTTATTGAGTTTGTGAAATTTGTTGTGGACACGATAGAGGGCTAGTTTGATTTTGATAAAATTTGGTCTGAATGTTTCTCATCGCTTAAGGATAAACCTCATTGAAAATCAGACAAATTGAAAAATATTTGACATGAGTCATGCCCTTGTTTTTGAAAACGCTTTCAATTTTTAAATGTCTTATTTACAGTTGAATTTTGATAAAATTTGGTGTCATTGTGTTTTATCACCTAATGATAAACTCTATTGAAAAACAGACAAAACGAAATATATTTGATATGAGTTATTGCCCTTGTTCTTGAAAACGCGTTCAGTTTTTAGCTTGTGAAAGGTCTAGAAAACAAAATTCTTGACGGATTTTGATGGAACTTGGTGAAATTGTTTATTATTTATTTATTAATGATGTACCCTCTAGATATTAGGATGGCAGTTCCGACGAGATTAACAGCAATGTGAAATATAGATGAATATTCAGCTATTAGCTAATGATGT